CCAACATTCCTGTAATGCTACTTTCCACCGTTTCCAAGTAAAATTGTAGGCCTATGCCTCGTCTCCTATAAAACACATTCTTTAAAAGAAATTCAATCTTTAGGCCTACAAGCGTTATGCTTGACTCTTCATTTTTAGGCTCTCATTCATTAGCACAAGTTTTTAATCTTTATTTTTTGATGTAGAGAACAATAAAAAAGATTCAACTCCCACCTTTCTAAATTCGTAAACTGTCATTTCTTGCTTACAGGGAGTTCTTTTGCCTGTTATAATGACTATGGGTATGTGAAGTCATGCCCAGGTTATTACGATGCGTATGATGAATACTATTGCTGTAAGTCATCTGGATTCTACTACTGTTGCGATTATGAGGAGTATATTGGTATATTCTCATCATCAGATGACTATGATGATATACCCGAGTAAGTACTTTATAGTGAACTAGTATCATATCATAGGCCTATTATTTATTTCACCAACAATAAACACCAAACAAAGTACAGTAAAATAAAACACCAGAAAACAAATAACCCACGTGGCTGGATTGCCCAACCAAAAGTAAAAGGAACCAAACAGTGTACTGTATGTGTGCATGTAGATTTCTTATATCTGTTTTTTTCTGAGGTGAGCGAGGCTTGAAACACGATCAGTTGCTAAGTTTAACTTGGTTCAACCCAGACCAGGCAGGTCTATTCTAACGTTTAAAATGTTTTTTTAGTGTCCTGTTTTACAGATTAATACAGACAAGATTTGACAAATTGAAACTACAGTGTAGTTAAAAAGACAAAAAAATAAAACAAACATCAAAATATAAAAAATAACGATAAGATGGAAAATTAAAAAAAGAATTTTGTAATTGAATTTTAAGTGTTAAAATACAGTGTTTGTGTTGTATGAATTCTTATGGTACCGGTATATTTTTTTTCAGCGCTATTAGCACTGCGATCATTGTGGTCATTGTAATCAGCGTCCTCATCCTGCTTGGTATTGTTGGTGGCATTATAGCATGTTGTGTGTGTGGCGGCTGCTGCTGCGCTCAAGAAACCACGACCACTAGCCCGGTGACTACATTCGTAGCCACACGTAAGTATATCTCTTTAATATACGTTACTGAGAATTCATTTAAAAAGAACCTACTTAGACAAAAAATGGGATTATTTATTTATTTGTTCAACAATATATTGAGAGGGTGGCTCTAACAGCAATGCTGACTTGAACTTCCACAGCAATTCAAAATACAGATATAAAATTCTTCAGAGAATACAAATAGGCATATGAGAGAATTTAAAGTTGCAAGAAATACATACAATTCCAAAGTTAAAATCCAAAAGTTGCACGAACAACGAATTGCATTCAAAAACAGGAAAAACATCAAAAAGAAGTAAAAATACAATTGCAAAAATATACATTGCACTCGGAAACTTTAAAATATCAAAAGATAAAAAAGTTAAAACTATTAAAAAGCAAAGAATTGCTAATTTTTATTTAAAAGGGATATAAGTTTGGACTTTAGGAAACGTTAAGATCAAGAAAAGATAATGAATCAAGAAAGGATGTGCCTTTGTAATAAAAACTATTTTTAAAATATTGAAGGTGGGGACGAGGAACAAAAAACATACCATTAGTGGATCCCCTATAGTTCGAATATCAATTTTGCTAATTATTTTTAAAAGATAATCGGGTGCGTTACCTGCTGTAGCAGCAACCAAATTGAGGAGTAATACTATTGGATACATTTAAAGCAATAAGTGAAGCCATGAGAATTGACGAGGTAAAAGGATGAACACATTATAAAACAAGTCTAAGAGCCCTATTTTGAAGCGACTGGATGTTGCAAATTACAGAATTGCTTTTTGATCCCCCGACGCCTTTTGAATTGCATTTTGAGCCCAAGGACACAAGCGAAATTCATAGCAAAGGTCCATCGAACCTCCGACCTTAAGGTTGAGAGACCGAGCGCATCCAAGGCGCCAGCCGGTACCGCTTCCAAACTAACTTATCGTAATCATACCGAAAGAGGCAATGCCTTGTTCAAAAATATAGGCCTAGTAACATACATTAAAAAAAATTCTATAGGCCTATACTTTATGTTTATCAGTATGGTGGTGTTTCTCCACAACAATATTTTTATCGTGTGATTTGTAACATATCATTTTTTTTCAGAACAAACCCAGCCTGCTCCGGCAGTTGTTCAACAGTCACACTTCACTCCGCCGTTCTCCAATCCCCTACAACAGCAGGTATACCCTCACCCTAGTGGCGCACATCCACCACCTTCAGGCGTAGCATATCCCCCTCCTGCTCAAGAACCAAAATTACCAAATTACGTTGAGTCAATAGCATAATATTAAATGAATGATCCACTGCTAGCAATAAACCATACGGTTGTCTGTGCTGCTAGTATAGGCTTATCATACGAGCTTGATAACCTTTATCCCCGGTATTCTTAAAACGAACTTTAGTCGTAGTTAGAACTTCGACTACGTTGTTTACGAATACAAATTTAAGTTGCAACTACAGTACTCAGATGTTCTAGCTAGTTCGATCGAAGTTCGTTTTAAGAAGACGGGCGTTAAACTTTTGTTAGCAACTTTAATAATCAAGACTAATCAAGTTGCATTTAATGTTCAAATTTATTATAATTTTAATTGCGGTAGTTTTGGGAACGTATTGTTAATGTTCTCTTTCACTTGCATACCGTATCTATTCGAATAAACGAGACAAAAATATGCCCATGGAAATTTATTTTGATGGAGACGTGTCGAGGGAGAGTTTAAATAGAGGCGTTTATCTGAATACAGTAAATATAGTATCACAGATTTTTTTTATTGTTGTGCTTAAATTTCGGGTGAATTTAGTTGTTTAGGAAGTTATGAGCAACTCTCATTTTATTTACTAAGGACATGTATACATCGAAGGCTTACGTACGAATTTATCATATACACTCCATATATTTGCGCACACTCATACAAATTCTTTCCTGGGAACACTCAAAATGAATTACTTCTAAAATATGTAAATATGCATCAGCACACATTATACACATAGGCCTAAGCGTGAATTGTTTACGCAAAAAAGAAATATAAAATGAACATGGTTTGTTATAAATCATTTTGTTGACCACGCTATGTGATAGTAATAGTCAACTCCGAGGACGACTTGTCACTTTTTATGCGATTACAAATAAAAACTAAAACAAAAAACAAAAACAATAAAAATAAAACAAAACACGGAGTTTGGTGATGAATTAAATGTTGTACATTCTAATTGACTCCTTCTACTATATCATGTTTGTGACCCGTGCCTTGATAGAAACCCACAATAAACGTCTACTAATAAACGATATGAACTATAATCCAAAAAATAAAATTTTTGGGAGTATATAACGGCTTTACCGCTCGGGGTGGATTTATCAAACTCAACGAAAAAATCAGCTTAAATTCGTCTTAAATCCATAAATTCCAGGCCAGGTCTTTTAAGATACAGAGATGTGATAATGTATGGTTTAGTTTTGGTTTTATCCTTTTGTAAGCTGTAATAAAGTTTTATTTAATAATACTACTAGCTTAGTAATAATAGTGATGATGATGATAATGATGGTGATAATGATATTAGATACGGTAATAATATTAATAATACAAAAAAGTGAGGAAATTGTGCTAAAAGCGAAAAAGAAATTTGTAATTTGTCCAATCATTGGCTTTTCCCAGCAGTAGCTGAAAAGGTCATTGTTTTTATAATTATTGTTGTAGTTAAAACTTAGTAAGCTATCATAGTTAGGCCTAAGTTGTCCTGGGCAACCGATTCTACCTAAACAGTCTTGCAGAATTATTCTTGGTCAGCAATTTATCTCATATCATCAGGCATTAGCTTTACTTAATCTTTAACAATTAAAGGTTAAAAGGGAATCCTTTACTTGAATTTTCTAAGGGCCTCGAAAAAATCTTACCTGATGCTTTAACTGAAACTGGGGAGAAGCTTGCGGTAGGGTATTTATGAACTCTGAGGATCGAAGTGAATTCTTTTGTAAAACTAAAAGGTTCAGAAATTCTTGCTATCCAGCTCTTGCAGTCTAATTAATAAAAACGAGTAACTACTACATAATCTTCAATTTCCTCCTTCCCTGACTGGTCTTGGCATGGCTCTGTGATTTGATAATTTTCCATGTTCTTGGCCTTGTCACTGTCATCGGTTGTGATGAATCTTGTTTAGTGGTATTCTTTTTTTTAAAATTTCTTTTCTCTTTTTGGTGAACTTTATTGGTGTGTTGCTTTGATGTGTTTCTCTTGAGGGTTTTGGCTTTTTTTTTTTTGTGAATTATGGAAAGTCCTCTTTTTTATGTAAATCTTATATTCCAATTTTTAATAATAATAATTATAATAATAATTAAAATTATCATAATTGTAATTTATTATAATAATTATGGATTTGTATAGTCTCAATTTTTTATATTCATATTTATCTTTTTTTTTTCAATTGTTAATAAAAATTTTAATGATATTAATAATAATTTTCATAAGTGATTGTGGGGCTCCAGACTTTTGTCATAGCGATTTTGTTGCTTTTGGGGCCCCAAAACACTTGTCTGAATAAATAAATAAATGAAATGAAATTATTAATTATATTAATTTTGTATGAGGATTATAACTTCTTGATGTTTTTTGATGTGTGTCCCTTAAGGCTTTTGGCTTTCATATTCATGAATTTAATATTGGATTTTGAATGAGTGCAATTTTAATTAGAATAATTATGGATTTTGTACGATTTTAATATTTTAATATAAGGTAACAGAAAATCATGATTGTTATCGAAGCTACATATTACCAAAAGCATATAGTCATGAACTATACCTCCATCTTTGTTAAAGCCATTAAAATGGGGTTTTAGGCGGTGAAACCATTTGGTTTCTTCGCAGCGTCTATCCTTAGTAGATTTAAAGTCGGAACATATAAAGCGCATCGTTAATGTCATGATTACCAGAATTAAATTGCAAAGATACAATATGATTAGAGTCTTCATTTCTTATGGTGGTTTTGTGGTTATTAAACGTAGATCTAATGTAACACCGGTTTCTCCTACATAATTGCTGTTATTATATATGTTTTATTATATATGTTGTATATATATATATAGAAATCTAATACAGTACAGTACTGCACTGGGGTGGATGCAGGTGGGGTGGGGGTGCAGATGGTGCGATTGACACTCTCTAAATTATATTAAGAAAAACACTTCTTTTACGGTATATGATATCAAAGAGTATAAATAGAACAAGAGAGTAAAGTCCCGTTCGTAAAAACGTCACGCCTGTGTAGGACGCCCACTGACGGTTGTATATACTTTTTATTACCCAGTGCAGCGTTGCGCTGCGGCGCAGCGCGGTAGAAGAAAACTCAGTAAGCATGCAGAAAACATCTTGTGTATCTTGTGGAGAACAGATAAACAGACAAACAGACCGTGCGCGGTGGCGTACTGGGTAATAAAAAGTATATACAAGCGTTAGTTGGCGTCCTACAATAGCTGCGTAGGGCGTATCGTTTTTTACGCTCTAAATGAGCGTAGTTGGTTCTCTTGTTATATTTATACTCTTTGCTTAAAGCATGGACCTATTAGTAGGTCCATGCTTAAAGCAAGTATAAGCATCCGCCCCAGAGCGTCGCAGTCATCCGCTTCACGGTACTTGAAACTGGGGATAAGCTTCAGCAATATGAGCCCAGTGGCTCGGCAAGGATTGACGCGAATTGAAAGAATTGAATAACTCAAATTAACTTATAAAAACTATATTTAATAGAAAAAATATATATAAATATTTTAAAAAAAATCAATATATTGTACTCCAAATTAAGTTGTACATAGACCTATCACCAGTGCCAGAGGGGGCAGGGTGAAAGATCTCCGGGGCCCAAGTTTACCAGGTGCCAATAGAAATTGCAGGTAGCATTTTTCTTTCAATACTCTTTTTCAAAAATAATAATTACTATCATGGGCCCTCAATAATGGCATGGGTCCCCGAATAATGGGCCAGATTGGCAGTGCCCCGCACCTCCACACCCCTCCCCCCAAAATGGTTGCGCCTTCGGTGCAATCTTTTTCGCACATCGCGCTCGCAACTGGAGGCCCACACCAACCCTTGCCCCTGTTACAGTTTCCCATCTTGGCGGCCCAGCCTATCACATTTATGTTGTATGTTGTATTATTTACATGATTAAACATGGGCTTGTAATAATATATGTAGGCCTATGTGGATTTTTATAGTGCGTATGATGGCGGATACGTGTTTCTTTAAATGTCTGTGTGTGATGTACAGTTATATTTAACTGTATATTATGATTAATGTGTAATTTTTTGTATTCTTTCATAATTCTGATTTTATCACTGTTACGTTTAGATCTTTCCAGTTCTCTTGCATAAAGTAGAATGTTGAACAGTATATCTAGCGCGCGTATGTAAAATATTGGCAGCGTGTTTTACCATCCATTTTTGCTTTATTCGAATTTAAAAATTACTGAAATGTGACGTATAATGTTTGTTTTACTCCCTAGTATAAGTTTGAACAGGACCATATGAAAAACAGGCTATAACAACCACCTGATATATTTTAATCCTGTAAAATAATAATAATAATAATAATAATAATAATTATAATACGATTCAGGTATCGTACTAATCTTTCTTGTACCATATAGAAAGAAAATAATATTAAATTTATTTTCTTTCTCTATGCTTGTACCAAAACAGCTCTGCTGCAAACAAAAAAAAAAAACAAAAAAGAAGACATACCGGTACGCTTAAACTACAAAAATATATAATATGGAAAAAATAGTAATACAAAGCTGATCACCCTCACATAAATTGTTTACATATCCGAAGTTCCGAACGTTTTTTCCACGATCTTTAGATATGATTTACAAAATGAATCAAACACATTTAAAATATATCTATCTTGTTCAAATGTCATATCACCAAGGTTTAGGCGGAGCTTAAATTCCAGCTTCATTAAAATTACGTATTTTTAGATCGTTTTCAAGTTTTGAATATTCATTGTTCGTATATCATTATAAGCACTGCAAATAAATAGAATATATTTAACATCTTCTTCGAGGTTCTTATTACATAATGTGCATATACCAGTGTTATTAGGTGTTCAAGTGCATATTCTATGATCAAGGGGCAATATATCGTAGTTTAAACTTAAGTGGACTAGGCCTACACCATAAAACCCGGTATTATCCAGAAGATAA